ACAGGACTGGCAAGAAAAGCATTCTAGCCATAAGAAGTTCAAACAACGCGAGGGGTCTGATCTGCGCCGAGATTCGGATTTGACGCTCTCGATAAGTGAGCTAAAGGAGTTTCAAAATGCTTTTTCTGTGGCGTACAACAATTTTTACGAGATCCTCGTTGTAAAATCGTACGTTGAGACTCGTAACTGGCAGCTTTCCGTCCCAGTGGCTCCTCGGACAACTGACACCATCCAATTTTGGCTAAGCTCCGAAAATTTACGGTACAGATGGCGCGCACTTTTTACCGCTCGAGGAGGTTTCACAATTACGACGGGCGGGACGCAAATCGGGGATCATCATTCCCTGGGCGACCTTACAAGTTTTCGAGACCTGTTTTTCTTCGTCTTTGGGACGTACGAGTTTCCTTACGAGGCTGAGATTATCATTACAGTCAATGACATTCCAGGAGACGGGTGGCCACTTCCTCTGCCGGAACAGAGCCAGGGAGATCGCATCCGGGACGTGACAAGAAATGGGCAGTTTGGCTTCGGCTATGGGCCCTAGGCAAGTTCATGACGTGTACAATTAAAGGGAGTTTTGGCATCGCAGTTCTATACTGCTTCATCCGATCGTAGATGTTGATCATAACTCTATCTGCGAACTCCACGGTTCTTCGTCCACGATGACGTCACTGGCGCAGCCTGCGCACGTCAGAGTCATTTCCGAAGCATTCAGCCCGTACACTTTCAGTAACAAGTCGCGGAAAGTCCTCTCGTCAATGTACTTTGCTACTTGCTGACACACCATTTGCAAGACTCCTTGCAGCTCCTTGGCGTACCGAGCGTCCTTCCAGAGGATTCTTGACTGGAAAAACTCGACGGTCTCGAGCACGACCTCGTCCCAGGGCGTTGGCTCCCATCCCAAGAGGGTGCGTGCCCGCGTGGTGGAGATAGGCCCTCTCTTCACGCTTGGAAAGTCAGTGGTGGAATTTAGCGCAAACACCAATGGAGAGGGCATTGTCGAAGAGGATGAGGTGGGCCACTGGGAAGACCGAGACGTGGCCAGGGCTTTGGCGATGTCCTCCATGATCTGGACAAAGGTCCGCGCCCTGTGATCGGCCACGTTGATGGCTACATTCCTGACTGTAAGCGCCCGATCACTCACATTTGCGCCCCACCTGTGGAGAAATGCGCCGTCATGACCTGAAATCAGTGAGACGATCGCCCGCGCCACGTCCTTGACGTACACCAAGCTCATTTCACGTCCGTCTCGATCCTCGCGAACGTATGGGATGGGCACATGGATCCAGATCTGGAGGTCGATCAATATCTGATAAAACCACCACCGATTAGACGTGTCTCGAGGACCAACAACGTCAGGAATGCGTAAGAATATGTAGTCCCAAGTCGAGACGGGCTGGAGCTCTCGAAGAACCTCCTCAGCCTCGAGCTTGCCGTGGCCGTAGGTGTCAGCAGCATTACATTCCGCTTGAGAACGAGGCCCGGACGGACGATGATCGTCAACGTCTTCCGTGGTAGGTTTTTCAAGGTCACGCTTGGCTGAGCAAACCTCATATATAGAATCACTGGACACGTAAACGTACAACCCCACACGTACTTCCTCTTTTATCAAAAAAGTAGCCACGTTTCGCGCTGAATCTCCTGAATAACACGAGAAATCAACAATGGCATGAATATGAGGGTGATCTTCAAAGAAAGCTACAACTTCCGATGCGTCTTCGATCGGTTCGCTTCTCCGATCCCAATGCAGGGAGGTTATATTTGCGCTGGCCAACCGCTCTAAAGAGTCAAAGTAGGTAGTATTGCGATTGGCAATGGTAACCGCATATCTATCAGAAAAAGCTAAAGCGATGACTGTGTACACGCCCATAAAGCCGTTGCCTCCCAAGACGAGTACTTCTTTTTTAGGAGAGGAGGACGATGAGGCGAGGCCGAGTATGGAAATAGCGAGCAAAAAAAGCTGCATCATGGTACGAGAAATCAAGGCGCTGCCTCGTGGAAGGTGGAACGCGTTGGGAATTAAAGCTACTACGGCATACCTACAGCTGAATGGGCGTAATGTTGTGATTAGATAGAGTTCATCAAGAAATAGCCACGAGACTACCAGGACGTTGCGGGCAGCTTCGCCGTGAGCGAGGGCGACTTCAGGTGGTAGGTAGCTCGGAGTCCTGCTCGTGTGCGTGATAGTCGACCGATTCTGCCAATATCCTGGATCAAAAGTGGTCTACAATTTATACGCGATACACGTTGTCAACTCTGTGCTCGTGTCAAAATTCGACGCAGATAGGAGAAGCAATAGTACCAAGGTGCAATGCATTTTGTGGTATATTTTTGCTCTCTGGCGATCCTTCGAAAGGTGTATTGAACGCTAAAAGCCACTCGAAATATCTCTAGTCATCCTGGTTTGTGTTTTCTGTTGCTCACTGGTTATATACTACTAAATATCATGGATGGATCATCCAAATAGACGCCTTTATTGCTTCGTCAAGTTAAGAACCCGAATGTGTTGACAGTCGAACGGAGCATCAAGGCAGTGTCAAATCTTTAAGCAACTTCCGCTAGATTGACCTTGTGATTCGAATCATGTCTTATAAATCATATGAAAAGGTGGTAGTCATACTTCTTGACACTTGGAACGTATGTGATTTGTATTGGTCGGACGCTGGTTATATAGTGTCGCGTCGTGCATTGTGAGGACAGCGTAGACTACCCCTGAAATTCAATGAAGATTTTAATCTTTCGATAGTGGTCATAGTGTAAACATGTGACATTATCCCCATGATATGGTTCTCTTGAACAACCCGGAAGAAAATAGATCAAAGACTCATGCGATGGGTTTTGCCGACCATAAGCAGACTTGTAAAGGCGGAAAGAGCGTTTGGTTCCATCATATTAGACAGACTTAATATGGAGTGGGAGGTGGCACAGAAAGGCAGAAAGACGGAGGATAAAGAGAAATAGAAACAGGCAAGAAAAAAGGGAAAGAGTGAGGATGAAAGTAACATAGATTAAGTTTGCATTGTGTTCATGGTCAAATCAAATGATGTTTCCCTCGACATTTATTTTATATAATTCCTTTCGAGGAGTATTTCCATTCCACCTTTGTGCGCTTTCCCTCATGACACATTTCCTCCTGCCTCCTGCGCTTTCATCTCCTCGCTCTCGCGAGGAAGAAGGACATCTCCTGTGATCGCTAGATGCACATGGATTTTCCCGAGTGGGCCCGGCTCGGAGGAATATCCATTTCGCATGTGCTCAACACGGGCAACCGACGGCAGAGTGGGCTTCAGGATCCCATCACCTTGATCGCTGAGGATAAAGGGCACCATACAGTTGGAACGAAAGCCTTCAGGCACGTTGATCAGCAAGTTCATCACCGTAGTGCGCTCGGGGTACCCCATCCCCATGCCTGCGGGCAATGTGGCAGTCGAAGCGATTTTTTTCTCCAGTAAGGATGTGCCATGAAGCGGGCAAGCTGGGCGCGTGTGGCCATCCACATGCCTTGATATGGATATGTCGGTGAGATGAACCGATCATGGACGCCGACAGACCATCGTGTCTTGTCGTGATGCTTCCCACAATCGAGCGCGGGTTGTTTTCTGAGCCGTTCCTGTAGACGTAAGAAATCGGTATTTCGAGTTGCGTCCAGCACACTTTCGCTGGTGATGCTTAAAAAATATGGATAATCCAACACGTTGAAGTCCCCCGTCTCTGCATCCACCTCTGTTCGATAGTTACAGCGCGTGAAGTTCAACGGCTCAAGGACTTCTGTATCTAATGCCCAGGAAACTACAGTCGGCCAGGACAAGTGCGTGTCGTCTTCCATGTAGAATATCGACGTATAATTGGGATGCCTTTCCACAGCCTTTTCAATCGCCTGCCTGTGAACCCAAAGTAATGAGTATTTATTCGAGTCGTTGGACGTGGGAGCTTGCCATAGTTGGATGGTGGGATTGCTCTTTTCAATGTATCCCCTTGCGGCTAGAAACTTATGTAGAGCCTTATCATTATTTGTAACGATGAGGACGTCAACTTTAGTCTCGTAGGTCTGAATAAGATCGAGCATGGAAGTGAGGTACACGAGTTTACCAACGTTCCAATGATATGATATGACTACAAGGATATCTTCAAGTAATGATGAGGCAGGACATGGTGTTGCTCGGAGCTGGGTATGCTGTGTCGTTTCGCTAAAAATGGAAATAGGCATGTCCAGGACCAAGGCATTCATGCAGAAGAGTACCAAGAAAATGGAAGCGAAGACCTTCAATGCTATCTTTCTTGACTGCATCACAGCTTTTATTCCTATCTCCCCTGCAGCTGAACGAATAAATGTAATTGTACGTATATTGCATGATTACTCATCGGTTATAGCCAAAGCAAGACCTCGATGACGACCGTTTTCACGCATGGAAGCAGGAGAAAATTCATGCTTAAAGAATGGATGAGACTAATACTTTTACCTTGCTTATTTATTGGTGTAGCGTTCAACACATATTCACGACTGCAAGAGGTCCCAAAGGCAGTTCATCGGATTAAAAGTCACCTATCTCAACATCTCGAGGAAAGCTTTAACCGCCGTTACTCTTGATAGACCCTGTGGCTCACGGGCACAAGGAATGGGCATGTGGTGGGTGGGGGATAGTCGAATATTTCATAAATGCGGCTTCGCTAAATCTGAATATGTCTCTAATACGGCCAGGAAAAGCCACTGAAGGGATCCAATCAGTAAAAATATCTCAAAGAAGTGAATAAGACCAACAAGGACCCGATTGCTCTTCGCTATCCTCTTCGCCGATGCCCAGCGTTTTCTTTGCTTCAATCTCATCTGACCGTTCATGCCAACGATCAACTCAAATTCCTGTCAAGATTCGGGGTGGCCGCCGGGCACATCTTTGACTGCCAATTCACGTGTGGGTCAAAAGATCCCGGTATAGAGACCAAATAGCTTCCTGCACGCGCATGGATGGTCACGCTTATGTTTCTCCTTGCGTTTATTGTTGAAAACAGGAGCTTGAAGCGCAGCATGCCCCATTCCTGAATAAGCATTTGACCTCCCCGCGGGCCTTCATTTTATTCCACCAGCGTGGCCTGTATCTGTAAATACTTCAAGGCCATGGATTCCAGACCAGCGGGGCCTAGGATCAGCATGTTTGAGACCTCTGCATCACCTAGCATTGACCCAGACCAAGACCTGTTCCCGCACTGTTTGGTGTGGTCACCTCTGCCTGTCTTGACATGGTTTTTGCCCTTCGTCGGGCACATGGGTATTGCGACAATGGATGGGGTAATGTGGGATTTTGCTGGACCCTACTCGATCGGTAGACATAAACTTGCGTTCGGTCCTCCAACGCGCTATATTCAGTTGCAAATCCCTCGCGGCAGAGAAATTGAGTACGACGAGGCTGTGGCTTCAGCCAACGCCACTTATTCTCACCGCACTCATAATCTTCTGTGCGACAACTGCCACAGTCATTGCGCGTGGGCGCTGAACACATTCAAATACAAAGGTGCACGTTGGTGGAATATGGTGGTGCTATCTTTATATATGCTTGTGATGGGCAAGTGGGTAAGTTTTCTGGCTGCAATCAAGACTTTGGGACCTGCCATGTTAGTCCTCGTTATTGGATTGACTATTATATACGTGTAGGGATGAAGGATGGTGTAGAATAGCTCGACCAGCAGCCTGGGTATTACCTTTTTCGGTGAAGCATGCGACGCTACCTAAAGAAAGTGGTTTTTGAAAAGAAAAGATTTTCCGAGCATTTTGAAAAGAAACGAAATGTATCATGCTTTACAACGCTATCCTTTAAATTACGGGACGTTTACTTTGCAAAAATACACCCCTCTCTCTTGTGTCAGCATTCGCACTCTAGGACGCTGCCTTCGACCCTAGGCACGAGCTCTTACACGCAGACACGATAGGTTATGTAGCGACCCGCAGTCTCTGACAGCCGAATAATTTTCACAACAGTCCCTCGCTGCAATCCATAATAGCGAGCGATTGGATCCGCTGATTGGATCTTCGGCAACTGGCTTTCCTTCAGCTTGTACCGACCTAGGACCTCTGCCTTCTGATCAGGCGTCAGGACAACGTGTTCAGGGACCAAAGTGTGCTCGGTGATATCAACCAGAAGTTCCGATTCCTTTCAGTGATTAAAAATTGTGAGAAAGGTGTAGGGAGTCGGTTATTTGTCTGTGCCCTGCATTAGGAAGAAGGTGCTCCAGGTCTCAGACGAGGACACCTACATCGACCGGGTTTCCGCGCATTCCCGCAGTAAGAGTACACCAACATAGATTTGCACAGACTCAAGTCCCATTTCATACCTCACTGCTCCCCTTACCTTGAAGACTTCGAGCTTGACTCCCGGAATGGCTCCGGGCTGGAGGAGCTTCTTGGCAATTGCCGTGATATTGTTTCTGTAGATGATAATTCCGCAGCTTGATCCTGCCTGCAACAGGCGTTCTACATATTTTTGAATGGGCTTCGTGCCTAATCCCTGTAAAGTATTGCAAGCATGCCATGATCAGGGATCAAACGAAACTACTTTTCCTCGACAGCACCCTTCACGTTTACCTTCTCATCGTCTGAAAAGAAGACAAAAACCACGTCCGCGGCGTCATCAATCTTCCCCACATTGATGGTGCAGGCCTCACGGGCCGTGCAGTTGTTGTTTTCCAAAGAAATCCGCGCCACATCGTCAGAAAAGGAACTGAAGGTAGCTTCCAGGGTCTGTTCTAACACGTTGTATCCACGCTTCGTCAGCATCTTGAGAACAGTCTTCCGGATGCGGAATAGGCGCATAAGCTCTTGATTTTGTACGTCCGCATTCATGTTCGGCAAGCTAAGTGGAAAACTTTCTGTCCTGAAGTGTGATCGTCGAGAGATGGAACGTGTGGAAATTTTCTTGGCATGATCAACGGGTAAGAGGCATCTCTCTCCAACTCTTCAGTCACTTGATAATTCCAGCTTTAAAAAAGCAATTGATAATGTCTTTTGAAGTCAGGTTAGGCGTCACCAACAATGTATGATCGGAAAAGAGACATCTCAACCGGGAGGTACAGACACTCATATCCGCCACGAGTCCTACTCGATCGAATTAGGGATGACACCAAATCCACAGTCAGCCAGCAAGCAAGACACAGAGAAATGAAAGATAACATGCAGAAATAGTATGCAAATATAGAAGCCAAATTTACCTCAATTCCTCAGGAAACTCAGCCTATCGAGCGGGCGCTATGCAGCACAAGTACTACTTTGTTCAAGAGCGGGCTAAGGGCGAAAAGACGAGTCTTGGCACTTCACCGCCCCCTTCCCTTCCTCGTCCACGGTCCCTGTCTGTGTGCGATACTCCGCCCTGGAGGTTCATGGTCATGTGAGCAGACTGCCAGGCGACGGTCGCGATGCTCGCACACAAAAGTTGCTACACCGGACGAGCGGATGCCCCTCGCGGGATCTCGCCCCGGCCCTCGTAGCCGCCGAGGCCAGGAAGCTTCCCTGCGCCCGATGTAATGACCAGAAATGGGGTCCGACCTCACGGAGACGCGGCCTCGGACACGTCATGTGCACATTCGATGGCCTTTCATGACACCCTTTGGGACCCGCGGCGAGCGGCAGTGCCTCTCTTGGGGTATATTCACCGCCTTTGCGCACCTTGAACGTGCGTGCGCGAGACTTTCCCTCACACTGCAACCTTCTCCGAATGTATGTCTAAAACCTTGTGTCGTTCGAACAAATGTCCTGACCCGCTTCCGTGCCACAAAATCCCGCCGTCGGTGCACAGTGAGAAGACCTAGGCTCAAGAGGCGGGGTTCAAGTTGTCGTAAATGACTTCGGGTGTTGGCAGTGGGGACAGCCCCTTGGCTCCCCCGGATGCCAGCCATCCCTCCGCCTGGTCGAGCCTGGCGGCAACGCCCACCTCTTGTCCCAAGAATATACGGGAAGACGCAGAGAGGGCGGAAAGCGCAAATATGGCCAAGACCCCGAACGATAATTTCGTTTGGCAGTCGCAGCAGCAGCAGCAGCGGCGCCAGTACGAAGAGAGTCAGCAGCATCTGGAGCAGCAACAGCAACAAGAGATCTTGGAGGCGCCGCACTATGCATCTGACCAAGGCGGGGTCTGGGAAGACGAAGAGGGCATGGTGGATGTAGAAGCGATGGTTACCTATGAACTAGGGGGCAGTCGAACATCTTTAAGCAGCATGCATTCGCAAGAACAAATGATTCATTTGCTCCCCGAGAAAAACCCCTCGTACGGATTCAAGGAACGGCAGGCATCTTTGTCTTGCCGTTACCGCCGACAAAGGCACAAGGTGGCCGGAGACAAATGGAAGACTATTGGGATGGGAGGTAACCGCGAATCGCACCCGGATCTGACCCAGCAGCATCGCAGCCCTTCAGACGGGAGCCTGGGGGAGCGGGGGGGAATGGGTGGCAGGCCGCCTTTGTCCATGACGCATGCCTCCCCCCGCAACGGGCTTAGCAGGGAGGGGAAGCGGCAAGAGGGCGGAAGTATGACGGGTGCTGTGAGTGGCAGCAATGGATGGCGTAATGACCCTCCGAATCGAGTGCACTTGGCGACGATTCACAGCTTGAACAACGGGCCGGGTCGCCCCCCGGTAAGCCCATTCCAGACAAGCCCCAACGAGGACAAGGCACAGCCCTGCTCTTCCTCTGTCGCGCAGCAGACACGAGAGCCTTGCCATCCCTGCGTGGAGGAGCAGAAGGATCTCCCCCTCCGCCGAAAGGCCTCGACTGGCCCGCCCGCGGCCCCACCCACCCTGCGGTCTCGAAGCAGCAGCCGGAGCCCAGCCAAGGGCAAGCGCGGAGACACCGGCTTTTCCTCCAGCGTGTCCACATCCTCTCACCGGTCTTCCTCTTGCAAGCCGCGCCGTCGCGGCCCGCACGACGATTCGATGCGAGTCAGGGCCTCCCACGCCTTGGCCGCCCTGGTCCACGACATCAACACGCACTCCCGGGCTCTGATAGGCAAATTTGTGAAGGCCGCGGACGATACCTTCCTAGGGGTGACGGCGCCCGCAATGGGCCTCTTTCTCACATTTGCGCACGACCTACCGCGCGCCGTCCACCGTGTGCATTTCGAGAAGGACCTGCGTATGCCCATGCCCCGCCGCAAGGGGGAAGATACTCGGCACTCCCTCTCCTTCATGTTCCTCCAACCTATCCATAGCGGTCGCGGTCGCAAGTATCCCACAGTTCTGGTTCGGAACCCGTACGGACGCTTGACCTTCTTTTATTTCTTTTACCTCTTTGCCCAACGGGGCTACAACGTGGTGGTGCAGGACGTACGGGGCCGTGGGGAGTCGACAGGGGTGTTCGACTGCCTCCACGACCACGACGACGGGCAGGCCACCCTCGAGTGGATCACGTCCCAGCCCTGGTACTCTCCCGAGCACGGCATCGGCCTCCTGGGCATGTCGTACAACGGCTTTGTCTTGTACTCTACTTTCAAGGACCCCGCGATTCCCGTGCATCCCGCCGTCAAGGCCGTGGTGCCCATCAACACCACGTCACGGCTCTCCACAATGTCCTACCGGGACGGCCCCCTGCATTTGGAGCTGATCATTCGCTGGTCGGGCTACCTGTGGACGCTAACCCGGGACACCACCTCCTTACTGGCCTTGTTGCTTTCTTTGGGCAACGGGTTGATGTTTCTAGGTAGGCGGCATGGAAGGCTGTGCGGGAAGGTAACATAGGAGCCGGGCATCGCCCGTCCTGTCGCTCTTTCATCGTGACCATCATCATCATCATCTTCTTCTTCCTCTACCTCATTCCTTTCTCTGTCCCACAGGCTACTTTGGGCTCTTCGATCATCCCCGTCTTGTTCGCGCCCTCCGACATTTGCCAGTGGAGGAGATAACCCACATGGTCACGGGGGTGCAACTGAACCGGTTTCAGATGTTCCTTTCCCCTCCGGGCTGCGATTTTGTCAAAGCTCGCGATGCCTCAGCTGCCCTTCGTCCCGACCTGCCTCCTGCACAGATTCACGCATCCTGGTATGACATCTTTTTGATCGATTCTTTCTTTGACTTCAACACCCTGGTGGCGGCAGGGAACCGAGGGGCGCGGCTGATGATCAGCAGCGACTACCATGTCAAGCGTTATTTCCACTACGGCGTCCTGGTTCGCGAGGCTTTGACGCATTTCAAGCGGTACCTGCGCCGCGAGCCGTTGCCCTACACCGATGCGGCGGAGGAGGAGGAACGAGTGACCATGCAGATCATTCACGCGGCGCCGGGACTGGAATGGATGGGACTCCCATCCTGGCCTCCAGCCGCGTCATTTCATGTCCCTCTCTACCTCTCATCAGAGGGAGGATTGGTCTTTGGCCCCGGAGCGGCTTCGAAGGGCGCCAGCTACCCTGGCCAGGGAGAGGAGTGCTTGGTCCCAGGCGAACGGCGCTACACCTATTTCCCCTCGGACCCGACCCCGAGTGTGGGTGGAAACGGAATCGGCTTCTTGGACGCCGGCGAGCGGGTGCAAAACCAGTTGGAAGCATCCAGGGGAGGTAGAGACCTGCTGGTGTACACGAGTGGGGTGTTGGAGGAGGACATGTACGTGATCGGCAGCCCCCGGGCGGAACTCCACGTCCGTTGTATGTCTCCACGCGCGAAGCAAGCAGACTTTGTCGTCCGCCTCTGCGACGTGTCGCCCGACGGGACGTCACGGAACGTCTGCGACGGCGTTCGTCGTGTTGACTTTTCGGATGTGGAGAGGCTGGAGGCGCAGGGGATGGAGGGAGAGGGAGGAAAGACGATGAGCG